ATCCTCTTAAAATTTAGGCTCTCTATCTTTTCTGGTTCCCGAACTAGTAGCTTACCCGCCAGAAACTTTCCATGGGAATCACACGTGCAAGAGCGTCCATTTTGGAGATGGGGGCCTATACATGAGTATAGATTAAATTCTCAGAGTTTCAACTTTGTAGCTTTTTTGGGTGTTGAGATGAAAACTCGATACAGGCGCACACACAGAAATACATACATACAGATCTGCACACGCAGACAACCCCTCGACAGTGTGCGTTTTTGCACTGCATAGATGCAAAAAACACATAATAGTCATGAAAATTATACATTTCTGACTTCTGTATTTGTTTGGAACTCTTTGCGTCTGATTTGTTTGTGTGATACACGAAGGGTATTGTGCTGTTCAGTGAAGTAGTATTAAGTGGTTGGCTGCTGTTTCAGGCAGTTGTATAAGCGGTATGCATTTTTGCGATGCGATGATGAGAAGGAGCAATTTCTGTACCATATACTATCGCTAAATGCCGCCGATTTTTACTGTTTCACGAATACTTTTAAAAAAACGAGTAGGTTTTCATCTCATTTATGCTGTTGTAATACTCATTTGAATGCTAACTTCATTGATATAGCTGAAAATACACTACGGCGGCACAAAGCAGTTGATCAAAATAAGCCATAGTTAAAATCGGATATGAGGGAAGGGACACGGAATGCTAGAATGGCAATAAAGGCGATTTTAGTTGCTGACCACTTCGTGTCGGTTTCGCCTCTTTAAAGAGTCATCAGTTCAGCGGTTCTCCCAACAGAAGCAAATGGCAATGCTTTAGTTGTTTCGAATCGTAGTTTTTGTTTGTTGGTTATTGCCACTTCGCGTTGAACGCTGCACAGTGAGGCAGTTTTTCAACTAGACAGATTTTAGTGAAATTAACGAGGGAAGTGTGAAGAAAATAAAACAGGAATGAGAACTGGATTTGCTTACTTTTCTTTTGCTGAATATTTGCCATAAAACGCTCGGCTTGAATTCCCCCATTTTATGTAAGCTTTTTTTTCTAGAAATGCTGTATCGTGTTCTATTGGTCACAGGCAGTTCTCGTTCAGCTCTGTCCTGCCCGATTTGGATTATCATCACCGGATCGCTGTGCTCCACCACCACGATTGCTCTTAAGCAAGGCATTTTCGAATTTACATTTGATGTTAGTTTTTCGTGAGGTCGCCTTATTACTTGTCTTTTTTAGTTTTCAGTAGATTCTAAAACCTGATAAATAATTTCTGCATGCTTGAAACACTTAAATCTCGAAACCTCGAGAATTCCACGTCATTACCCTGTACTTTTGGCGCTCTTATAAAAAATGGGTATTTCTCTGTATTTACCGCTGGTGATGCAGATGCTTAAAAAATCCTGTTTTGAATACATCTAAAAAGTGATGATCTGATATCAACCCTTGTATGGTGATTCTTCTGCAGTTCATTTCGTACACAGAACGAAATTACAATTCACCGCCATTTGATATAGTTCTGGGTATCTTTTTTCATTCCCATATGATGTGATTTGCCAAAAAGGAGCTAATACCAACAGTGGAAAATTTAAAACCTTATAGTTGATAATATGAGCATTAGCTTGAATGAGTTTTTCCTTTCTCTATCTCTGTACCATTCCTCTCGCTTGCCATTTTTCTGCTTTTTTTCCCGGATATTCTAGCTTTCTTTGCTCACCGGAAATGCTTGTGCGCACTGTTTTGAACTGAGCTGCAGAATCTCTCGAAAAAACGGTTTGAAAAGAACGAGGGCTGCATTTTTTACGCTGAAATGACTCCTGTTATTTCTGCACTCGAAATCCATTGACCTTGATAACTACTTTACGACCACCTTACGGCGAAGCGTGTGTGGGTGATGACTGTGAGAGGTAGGTAAAATGAGCTTTAACAGTCGGTCAGCATGCATCGAAAGTTCGCAGATGTAGAATTTCCGATTCCTGTCATCTTGACAGAGCGATTTTTTGCAGCACAAAAATCTTGGAATGCTCTCAACGCTAAGGATTGGTCATGGTGATTCTGCATGTGGTGCACCTCCGAAGTGGTTTCTTGATTATGTTCGTGTTTGTCTTTGCATTGCTTTTTCAGATCATAAATTT